ATTTTACAGATGGGGGTGACCCCGGCATATTGGTTAGAATCCATACCTCTCACGTCAAAGTCACGAGTTCAAATCTCACCCCCAGACAAATCACAAATGACCCAGTAGCGTTAAAAAAAAAAAAAAAAATTACGGATGTTTGGGATCTTCTGTTGTGGTGACCATTCGGATCCAATTTTAAGCATTAACATTAGCATCTAACAAGTTGCACAGTATCGTACACGCTTGAACAGAGACCCTGAGTTCGGTAGAAAAAATTACCGTCTTAGATCGGTAATGCTAAAAATTACAGATGTTTCGGTATTTTCTCCCTATATTGCTGAAAACTGTAAATGAATTGACCGAATTTCGGTAATTTCATTTTAATTTAACGAAACCGGTAAACATTTTTACCGGCACGTCTGTAAATCAGCTTCATCACTGACTTCGGTTAAATATTTTACTGAAGTTTCGGTAAACAAAGCGTTAAGGCCCAAGCGCAATGACAGCGGAAGCGGAACGGCAGCGGCAGCGGTAAAGCCCGATCTGAGTAAGCCTACTTATCGGATTGAAAACTAGTTAGAACCAAATCGACATCGGTTAGGCTTCTTGATGTCATTTGAGACAACTGTCAAACTTTCCGTTTACGTTTCGCTTCCGTCCACATTGCGTTTGGGCCTTTACATTACTGAGTTCGGTAACGTCAAATCCACCATTTACATTCATTTTTTTCGAAATAACTTCCAAAACATCACAATTTGGTGCAAGTTTCATATCAGGTTCGTGCCGAGTCCGGGTAGTGCTGGTTATTTCGGAACACCCGGAACAGGTTCCGGCAGGGCCTCTTTCAACACAATTTATTTTTATCACCAAAATACAGGCCAAAATATGCCGTGCGACATATCAAACTACATGATATTCAATATTATTGGATTTTCAAATGCATCAAAGTTCACAGTTCACTGGAATTACCCGACGGAGAAGGAGATGCAGAGTTGCGTGGTGTTGAGGACAATCAAGCTGATGCAATTAGAATCAGGGAAGAAATCATGCGCAATATTTTGTGAAAAGCGAAGTTCTTTTATGTATCGTTGCAATATAAATATAAAACTTCAACTCTAATTAATGTATTCAGAACAATCGAAATTGTTTCCCAACTTACATGAAAAGCTAACCTTTTCATTCTAGTCTTCTGTCTCTTCAAAACAATGACGTTATTTAAATTATTGATGAGGAATGAAAAAGAATAGTGATGAATTACTCGTCACTATCGTCCAGGTCCGTCTCTCCGTGATCATCTTGCGCATCAGTACTACCAGCTGTTGTCCATCCCATCTCAAAATCAAGCTTCTGCTTCTTGTATTGAAGCAGCTGCAATTGATATTCCAATTGCTGACTTGGTTGTTTCTGCTTTTCCAGCAGCATTTCCTTTTTGAAGCGGAATTTCTCCTCTTCCAGATGGAAAAGCTTGGTTTCAATCGCCAGCCGCTTTTCGTGAAGCGCGTATGATTTACGCGAATATCGGGCACAATCCGATATATGTCGGTTCATGTTACTGAGATCATCAGTCTGCTTCTCGAGGAGGACTTAACGGTAATTTCGCTCCTTCAGTTTCATCCGCACGGGCTGCATCATCATGCATAGGTTAGTTTTCCGTGACACTCGGTTCCTCGACGCAGGGGACTGTTGCTTGGTGTTCTTCAGTTGCGGCTGCACTAGACGAGGATTGCGTTCCAAAAACAGAACCTGAATTCACGAAAGGAGGATGTTGATAATGCTAGCAAATTTTTCAGTAGATTACCATTTTACCATTGTGATTGATCGCTATTTCCAATGAAAGGAGGCGAATGATGGTTTCTTCCAGATCGTTGAACGACTTCAGAGTATTTGGCCCACCTACAGTGGCCCTCAACTTTTTCTTGTTATGCTGCAGCTTGTGCTTTATCTGCAGCTTTTTTTCGGTCCAAAAATGAAGCAGAAAGCAGAGAGGTTTTGCATAGGAAGTATTTCTTGTCGTTTGAAACACACGATTCAACTTACCTTTTGCCAGGCTGCAACAGAATGAGTGGGAGGACCCAAACTGTTCAGTGAATCCGTAAGCGTCCACCATAAGGAAGTAACCGATTCCCGTGAACTTGTCACCTTATTTCTGTAGTAGATTTGGGCGATGAAAATAAACTAATGAAATAATTATTCAAAATAATGTAATAATATTTCTCAGTGTATGCTATTACCAACCCGCTCTATAAAGAACGCACTGCTTTCATGCTGTCAGTCAGTATAGAATCGCTATCCCTTACCGGAAGAAAGCTACCGATCGTATAATTGAAGGGGAATGATCGGGAAAAGAGCTCGGGTTTGGTTATTGCTTAATACGAGCAACGAGTATTCGGGATTTGTCAGCGCTTGTTGGTTGAGAGGGAAATGCGGAAACCCGATCATGACAATCAGCGGTAGTGGACTTGGTTCACGAGAGAGCTTCTCAAGCAAGGTAGCGAAAGCGAGAGCGTATGACACTCTACGATTCATTGAAGCAAGAAAGGTATAGAAGTTACGGGTCGTGAAAGAAAGGTGAGAAAGAGAGGACCTATCGATCAGATAAATGTTGGTTCTCTCGTGTGATCCGATAATCCGACGAACATTGGAGTTCGTCATTCTGTTGGCGATAGTTATCGCGATTAGTCGTACGTTCACTGCAAACAGCAATTTTAAAAATGGCCGGAAAGCGTCACGACAATTTCCTTTCGCAATGTCGGGATTTTCCTCCATAAAGGCCACAATGCAAGCGAATTGTCGCGTGTTTGTCTTTTTCTTCCTAAAATGTATAGAAAGATTCAAAACATTAATAAAATAAGTAAAAATATTCAAAACTTGAACTGACTCCATCTTGCGTGACTGCTTTTCACCTTTGAAAACTATGGTGAAAAAAATCCACGGGAAGCGTCACTTTTTTCACCGAAATCTCGGTGACGTGGCAACCATAATAACACCGAGTTCATCCAAGTTGTAACTTCGGATGAACTCTTTCACATTCTATCACTAGGGTGACTCCCGTAATAGGGTTGTGTTCACTTCACTTTGTTTTCACCGTGAAGTGACACCCATAATAAGGGCCTATGTCTCGTGGCCGTAGTGGACCGTTGGTTCTAAACAGCGTCTTGTAGGTAGTCCATTTCATGCAGCGGCGAATTTTTTGAGGACGCTCATCCGGAGTGCAATGTAGGCACGATTCCCTGCCGTAATGCGCCTTTGAATTTCTCTGCTGGTATGATTTTTGACCATCACCAGTGAGCCCACATACACGAACTCACACGAACTTGACCACCTCAATTTCGACACCGTCAACCTGAACTAGAGGTGGGAGGCTAACATGGTCTTCTCTAGAACCTCTTCCTCTCATGTATTTCGTCTTCGATGCATTGATGGCAAGTCCAATCCGTCTAGCTTCAGCCTTAAGTTTGATGTACGTTTCCGCCATTATTGTCTCAAAGTTCCTTACCATGACGTCGATGTCATCGGCGAAGCCAAGAAGCTGGATAGACTTCCTGAAGATCGTGCCAATCGTATCTATCCCAGCTCTTCTTATCACACCTTCTAACACGACTTTAAAGCAGACACGAACGTCCATAACTTTGCCGTAATCCCCTTCGAGATTCAAAGGGACTCGAGAGTGTCCCTGATACTCGAACATTGCACATCACTCGATCCATTGTCACCTTGACCTATTACGTCACTTTATCGGGAAATCCGTACTCGTGCATTCTCTGCCATAGCTGATCTCGATCGATTGTGTCGTATGCGGATTTGGTGTTCAATTGTATGTGTATTTAGAAGAGAAGAAGAACACGATGGCGATCGCTCCTCTTAGAAGTAAAATATAAACGTTGTTTTCATTTAAAGTAAGCAGGATATCACATTGACGATCCTGCCAGGTATGTAAATCTTGAAGAAGCATGAAATCAAATATGTATTTCCTGGGATCACTCATGTTTAATTGACTTGTAGCTCGTAATGTTCATGAACTAGATCCATCGCATCAAAACAAAAACATTGCATGCACTGAGTCTTCTATCTAGGAATAATATCAAAAAAGAGATTATACTGTGTAACAAAGGTTCTACTTACCTGCTCGGTGGATCAATATGAGTTTTACTAATACGAATCAAATTCGACCATTTTTGAAAAATCGATCGACAAATTTACTCATCGCTGAGTTCCTGCACTTTTGGTGATTATGAGTGAACTAAACTCAAATTTGGGTTGTTCTCATTCGCCGTGCAGCACTACAAAGCCGGTTTTCAGCTTGTTGGTGGTGCCATATTATAATTCTTATTCCTTTTCTAGTAATAGAATCAATGAGTTGCTTTACATGGGAATATCTGTTATTTAAATCCGTTCCAAATTCATGTTAATTGTATATTGACTCATGATTAAAATTCTGCGGAATGAAACATTCGGCAAAATGTCCTTCGGTGAAATGACATACCCCTGTGAAGGGCACCAGCTGTTGGGAGAACTACCCATCACCCACACCGCAAAGTTCGGGCAACTACGGTAGGCTGGGCATGTTGTTGGAATGGACATGGTTCTTGAATCGAATAAGACAAAGAGGTGCGCAGCGAGCAAGGTGATCCAGGCAAGGTGTAAAGCAAAGAAAAACTAAGCCTTGGCCTGAATAATAAGGTGAGTAAGATGAAAAGGACAATCCACAGCTCCGCCCATTGATTAAATGTATTTCTTTCCACTCTTTTTTCTCAGTCAAGTAAATCCATTCTTCATTTATTATTATATAGAATATATATTTATAATAATCTTCAATTTTATAAAATATAACAAAAAAAAAATCTCGTCTAAACATTGTTTACGTTTCGTGCAATATGTTTGTTTCTGTAATTTCAACATAAAGCATTGTAAACTACAAAAAAAAATCGTATATGATTTCCGTTCACACTCCCGGTTTTCAGGTTGTATATTTTATTCTTCATTTATTTCCAATTGAGTTCAATATTTTCCCACTATTATCTGCATGTTTGTTTGTTTGTTTGTTTGTTTGTTTGTTTGTTTCTAGGCGGCAAACTGTCATTAGGCTTGTTTATCTCTATGCATTTGTATCCTATGTAAGTGTGTTGAGTAATTATTTCCCCTCCTGCACCGGTTCCGTCGTCGTCGTTCCATTGTTGGCTGTCATCACTGGGACCCGAGCTTTTTTTTTTATCTCTTCTATTCCACTTTGGGAGAGTGTCGGTTTGTGTGTCGGGGTGTGTGTGTGTGTGTGTGTTTGTGTGGGCGTACGTGTTTGTTTGAATTTGTGCTATTTGTCTTGTCTTGTTGAACAATTTGCGTTCTGAACGCTACACAATACAAATATAGAAATATATTTTCCCGCTTTCTGGCTTGCTACTGCTGCTGTTGCCGCTCGTGTACAATGATAGCATTTTCTTTAATGTAGTTTTACTTTATGTTTGCTTTTGCACATATTTATTACACATCGACATAAATAGTTTTCATGTTAGTAGGTATATTTTTACTTTCATTTAGTAACTCAGCTTCTTGCCGTGAGTTTTGAGGGTGTTTCCTAAAATTATTGTATCTTTTTCTTTGCCCTTAGAGTGTATACTTAGTATAATTTAGTTGTCGTTTTTTTTCGCGTCTTGCTAGTTGTTTTTTTTTTATTTTGTTCAGGTAAGGTATGTGTGTGTGAGTGTGTGAAAATGTTTCATTTACGTTCTTTTTCATTGTGTGAGTCGTTTCTGCCGTCGCTGATGCGATGCTGCTTATTGTTTTTCACAAGTCTGTTTTGTTTTGTTGTTTTGTTTTTTGTTGTTTATCTTGTAAATATCAATATTTCTATAAAAATCTAACACTCATATAAGTATATTTTTGTTTGCACAGTTTTGCATTTTTCTGTGTGGGTGTATGTGTAAGTCTATGATTTATCTATACCTCACTTAGACTAAGCAACGTTTAAATTACACTCATTTTGCTATATGTATATGTATATAAATCTTCTGTTGCATCTCTTTTCGGCTAATTTTTGTAACGAAAACAAAAATCTCACTTAACTAAGAGTCGTTTTGCACTACAGAAACGTGTGAAAACTGATAGAAGCTTTAGAAAGGAGACCATTCAGACACCGATAACAGAAGGGTTGACATAGAGGGTAGGGATGGAGAAGGTAGATAAATAAATAAACCCGAAAGAAAGGAGAGTCCTTAACAACTACTAACAACTATAATTAATCGTGAAAAAATAAACAAAAACGATAGAAAATAAAGGTTGTAAACAAGAACCACACTGGAAAATGATTCAGACAAAAACAAACTGGATGACAGGTCTGCAATTGGTTCCCAGCAGACCTGAAAATATTGTAGACAGTTTTGACACCAATCTCTATTTTGAGTTCTCCATCGCGTTTATTCTTTAGGCTAGGGTTAATTTTGTATATTTTTGTTTAATTTCACAACGACATTTAAACGGGTTAATTGCACAATAGATGCCACTGTTTTCTTGTTAGTTGGCAGTTGGTACTAAGATTGTTTATCCGTCTTGTCTTAGTTTTTCTGTTTTCTTCTTTTAGCTAGTGTTATTGTTTACCATCGCTTACTGGCAGGATCATCATTTTTTTTTTGCATGAAACACAAACAGTTGACAGCTGACAAATCCACGATAGGCCAAAAGTTCAAATCAGGTGAGTAATGAATGAATTGATTTCTTGCGCTCTAGTTTCATAAATCTAAATCAAAACTTAAGTTATTCAGCAAATTTTGCAGCTGCCGCTAGCAGTCAAAACAATTAGGGCTAAATAGAACTTTTAAATAACCAACAAAGACAAATCATTCTATACGCGTCGAACAAATTTTGCTAATAAACGATCTCTCAAGCAACAAGAACTAGATTAGTAATGACCTGAGCTTTTACATACCATTAATTTTCGTTTAAATTGTTATTTTGAGTCGCCATTTTCGACATTCGATTTCATTACCCTTAATTTCAGGAGCGCTGACAATCAAAACTGTCACACGACGCCCAGCATCTGTCTACTACACATAGCGAACATAGATCACAAATAATCAGGTGAGAAAAATCAATCTTTTCGTAGATCAATTTCTGATTTCATTTTGCTTCTTCCTTTTCTCTTCCACTCACTATCTCACTCTCTCTCTCTCTCACTCGCTCTCTCATCTTTTACGCACACACGCAAACATTCACCTAAATCTAGTGCCTAAAATTAAAACAAGATGAGGTTATGTGCAAGTCGATTTTTCAACAACAAAAATTGAAACGAAGGAGTCAGGGGACTGCGCAAAACGAATCCAATAAATTAAATATTCCTTGTCAGTACCTCGTCCGTCCAGGAGAAGAAGCCGGAAACGATGCTATCGCTAAGTAATGTACTTTAATAATAAAAAAAATCCCCACGCTGCCAATCAAAACAACTCGAAAACAAAACCGATTCGTCGATCGAACCTACTACACACTAAATGATCAATAATTTAAGTGACGAATATAAAAAAAAATGAAAATATTGAGAATATAACCGTCGAAATTCCTATGTACAAAGCTCGATAGCGTTAACAAAATCAACAGAAAAAATAAATAAATATAAATATTTCTACACGTATATGTATGAGGGTGTGTGTATGCTCCACTCATCCGTCCGGGCGCTCATCACTCACGGGCACTCATTCCCACTCACGCCACACCGTTGCTGTTGTTGCTGTTGCTGAAGTCGTAGGCCAACCGCCGGACCTGCTGTCCTAACTAACATTCTTACACAGATTGAGACTACCCGTCTGGCTGTTGGTGCTGAGACACTCGTCGCTCTGTTTTAATACTATATTTGGCTCCAGGATGGAATGTTTCATCGACTTTCCGATGACCGAGTCACGCTGGCTGTAGTAGTCCTCCTCGTGGTTGTTGTTGTTATTGTTGATGCTGGTGGTGTTGTTGTTGTTATTGTTTGGTGACGAGATGTGATCCTGGTCTACTTCCATACCTTCGTCCTCATCGTAATTGGGCTCGGATTTGATGTTCTGTATCAGCGGGGGTTGTTCTTCGTCGGTTCCGCTCGAGTGGCCATTTGTTGGGGTTTCCGGTGGATTCGGTGTTGGCGTGGAAGGGGCAACCACGCTTACCGGGCTTGTCATGCCGCCGTTGTTGAGCCGAAGATTCAATGCCTTTGCCGCTGCTGCTGCCTGGATCACGTCCTCAATGCCTAGTTTCCGTTTTTCCGCTCGCATTTCCTGTTCGTACTGTTGGACCAGCTTCCGTTTGGAGTAGTACTTCTGATACTTTTGGCTATCGAGCATCTTCTTCGACGGATTGATCTGGTGGACGCCAAACTGTTGGAGGTTATTGTTGTTCATGGAGCTGAGGTTATTGTTGAGGTTGGCATTGTTTGCGTGGGAGCTGTTGTTGTTATTGATACTGTTGGCATTGTTGTTCAGGTAGTCTTCGTTCAGTACTGCTGCAGCGGCTGCATGCTTGGCTTTCATCAGTTCCTTGAAACTGTTCCGGCTGGCAAGCTGTTGTTGCTGAGCAGCAGCGGCAGCGGCCGCAGCTTGCTGAGCCTGTTGCACGGCCTGCTGCTGCTGGGCATGGGCAACGGCTTGTGCTTGCTGCTGGGCTGCTTGGATCAGCTGCTGACGCTGTTGAGCCAAACTCTGCTGATGCTGAGCCATGTTCTGCTGCTGCTGGTAGATGCGTTGCTGTTCCTGCAAGCGAATTGCGTGCTGCTGTTGCTGCTGCTGATAGTCACGCTCCTCGGCATCGTTGGTACTCTGTGGGTGAAGGACGGAGGCATTGTATTAGAAATCAAAAGATTTCAACGAACTTGAAACGGCAAACTCACCTCACCGTGCAAGCCCTTGACTTGCAAAGCTTCCGCCACCTTTAGGAAGTTGGGCAGGTCCTCATACTTGACATTCACCTGGGGAGAAATAGAAATTAAATCGCTTTTTAGTTTGGGTGTTCAGGCAGTTGTTAAGCTGGCTTAACATAGGGAAAGCATGTGGTATTTAACAAATAGCATTAGTGTGCTGTGTTTTCTGTAGTTGATTTGAATTGCCTTGTTGGTCAGAGTGTAAGTGATAAACATAAGAATTGGCTGTCTTAGCCATGAGTGTACCAATTAGCCACTCATGATCCAATAACCGCTCACTAGTGTCAACAACTGATACTTTCTCAATTCTAGTTATCTAATTGAGAGCAACGCTGTTTGGCATTATTCTGTTTTGCACATTTGCCGTTTGCGGCATAAAAGCCTGTTGGCGAAAATATCAAGACTGTTTAATAATCTTGAATTGTTCATGAGCTTTTCTTTTATCATAGGTTAATAAGAAGGCAAATGATCTATTTATGAGTATTTTCTTCTTTGCATTTCAATCTTATTGCTTATCGCATATTAGCTTATTGCGTACTCTCAGCTTAGTGTTCTACTTCCACAGTTATTAATTGAGAGCATTTTTTGCCTGTACCATTTTTGCATTAGTATAATTGTGTGGTAAGTACAACCATATTATATGCCCAGGGAAGTCAAGATATTGTCCAACCTGAAAAATTCCAAGATCTGACCGAGAATCGAACCCAGACTCCTCCAGCAGGATCTTGTTTTGTTGCTGCGCCTTTACTGGCTGAGCTAAGAGAGGCGCCTATGAGTATAATTAGTGTTTTTCGGCATTTATTTCGAACGACCACTAAGCCAAACAGCATAATTCCAAGTAGAATTATGCCAAATTGATAACTCTCATCTAATGTGGTCCATATTTTATTTTCTGCTCTTCTCATGCTCATGCTCATTCAGTATACAACATTGGCTACAAGCAAAATAAGTCTCTCTTACATCCAATGCAATTTATTACATCCTCTGCATATGTTTCATACAACGCATGTAATGGCAGTTCTCGCAATTTACAGATCTAGGCAGAGTAAAACCAAAAAAATAGTTTGTTCAAAATGCCAAAATAAGCGATTTGGAAAAGTTAAAAAAAAAATTAAAGTTGATCAAATGATATTCAGTACATGTAAGTTACAATAAGAGGTTGTAAAGTATGTGTTTGACACATACAACCAGGCGATGTTGCTTTCATAGCGTCACAATCAGGGATTTTATGATTCGTGAGCGTTCACTCAGAGTGAGCTGATTTTGGCGCTCTTAAGGCAGAATTGACAGGTTTTATGATTCAAAAACATTCGTTTGAACCTCTTTTAGTAACTTACAAGTATATTACATCATTATTACATCTAATGGTTTCAAATTCCCTAAAAACATTTTTTTTTATAGCTAGTGAGTTTGCACTTGATAGGCTGAGCGACAAGGGGTTGGATTTCTCTCCGACTGTCAATAGCCTTGGCGATAAAGAACAGGTTCCAGGCAGGAGCAAATCGCTCGCATTAGTGAGATCAGTACTTACTTGAGTAACAGCATCCCAAAAACGCCAACCACCAAATACGGTACACACCTGTGCAAGCAGGTAATAGGGTAAATATTTGATATAAGCACTTTTAATCGGCTTCCGAATGTTAACAGTATCACAGTACAATTATGCGTTGTTTTATAGAATTCTAATAGATTAATTCTATAATTTGTATATTTAATTGCTATTTGTCCTGCAGCTGCTCCGTATGGACACAACGTTAAATGAAAACGATAAAGACAATTTTTGATGTCCATTTTATAAAGTCTGGAACGCGCAAAAATTGGTCAACTTCAAATTGGTGTATTTCTGTTGAAATGCATTAAAAAAAACCTGAAATGCTGCATTTGGAAGTTGAGTGTATATATAATGGTTACTATGATGAGTTTTCAAAGTTTGCTCTCTAGTATTCAAAATGACGTCCAAGCAAGAGGAGCATCGTGTCAAAATGTTGCTCGCACAGTAAGAGAATCCAACGTTCTCACACTCCAAGTTGGCAAAATTGCTGGATATAGCCAAATTGACCGTGACAACCGTTTTAAAAGTGTTCGGGGAGCGTCTGTCGACCACGAGGAAGCGTGGAAGCGGCGGCAATCGTAATCCGGACGTGGCACCGACGACGAAGAAGGTGGCCGTGAAATATAAGCGGAATCCTAACCTCTCCATCCGGGACGTCGCTGGCAAGCTCAATGTCTCCCATGCTATTGCGCAGCGGGCTAAGAAACGAACTGGGTTGTCGACGTTTAAGAAGGTGAAGGTGGCGAACCAAGATTACAAACAAAACACGTCGGCAAAGCAGCGGTCCCGAAAGCTGTATACGAATCTGCTAGCAAAGTTCGACTGTGTCGTTATGGACGACGAAAATTCATGTAAATTACAAGAAGAGCCTGAAACATACAACCTGTCAAACGGCGCCGGTGGTGTAGTGGTAAGCGTGATTACCTCTCACCCCAGCAGGCCTAGGTTCAATCCCAGTCGGCGCCGCCGGGATGTTCTGAGGCATAACATCTCTGATCACGCCTTCCTTCGGATGGGAAGTAAAGCCGTTGGCCCCCGGTTCATGAGTTGATGGGTCGATAGGTAGGGTCCAGGTGTGGGAGCTGCCTTCCTGTCACGTCGGTAGCATTGGTACACAACACGGAAAATAAGATACACGGCAAACAAACCAAAGGAAAAAAAAATAAAAACTGGCAATTTCACATTCAAAGAGTTACACTCAGTGATTTTATTACTCGTGAGCGTTCACTCAGAGTGAGCGCTCACGAATAATAAAATCGTTGATTTTGACGCTCTGAAAATGATATACTTTTTAACCTCTTCTTATAACTTACTTGTAAAACATATCATTATAGCATCTATTGAATCTACAATTCCGAAAAACATTTATAGCAAAGTGAGTCGAAGCATTCCTGCTGAACATAGGCCTAGTCAATTGACAAAGGCTAGATAAACTTAAAATTTAAACTTTTTTCTATATACTTGAACTCTAACAAAATATTTTTCGGTGCAATTGGAGGGGTGGGGGATAGCCACCCTCCTTGCCCCCCTAAATCAGCCGAAAAATATATTTTTTTAGAGTTCAAGTATCTAGAAAAAAGTTTAAACTTTAAGTTTAACTAGCCTTTGTTATTTTTCCCAATAATCTGACATATTGAAATATTTTCAAAGTTCTACCACAGACAAACAGACGTAACTCTTTGAAAAAGTTTTTCTTGAAAACATAGTATCTCAAAACATAGGACCTCAGTAGCGACATCTTTCAGGCTTCTCGCGGAAAACAAGCTTGCTCGCTAACTCGCAAACAATATTGCATAAAAGTTCTATAGAATGTATAGAAACGTCAAAGTGATCCGATGCCAGCGCTGCGGCGAGTAGTTCGCGGAACTGATAATATTCAAATCAACCGTTAAATGCGTGAATGAAGATACACAATGAAGAGTTACGTCTGTTTGTCTGTGGTTCTACTAATTAGCTTGTTTTTCAACAGTCTGGCAATTCAAAGGTTGAAAATGTTGGCTAGAATTCCAAAGAAGTTTTTAGCTCGAGAGATAATTTCAATGAGTTCTCCAAGGGAATTTTAAGGAGAACCCTTGCAACATTCTAAGAAGAAATTTAACAAAGTTCTGAGGAAATTTTCAGGAGTGTTCTGAGGAAAGTTTCTAGTAAATTATTAGCAAACTTCAATAGCAGATCTGGAATGAATTTCAAAAGCTTTCTGAAAAATGCTTATAGGTTAATCTGAAGAAATTACAAAAGGAACTGTAATGAATATAACAAGAGTATTTTATAAATAGAATATACTGAAGTGCGACGTTTCATGAGAATACTTACAATACTGTAGAGTGAATTTAGAGAAAAAAAATCAGCCGGTGGTGAACATTTGAAGGGATTTCCAATTAGAATCAAATTTGTTTCTAGTGTGTCAGAAATTTTAATTGTGAATATATCTAGACAGAGCTTGAATAAGGGCGAAATTCACAAATGTAAACAAACTGATGTTAATGCATCACGTTATACTACTATTAAAATGCTGCACAACGATATTTTTTTATATTGTACATCCTTAAATCCGGGCGAAATCATCTTTTTTTTACAAATTCAGTTACTTCGGAGCAATACAAGATACTATAAATCAAAAAGGCGCATGCAATATTTTCATTTTTTTTTCGAGCTGTAAAAAATTAATAATAATATTTTTATTCATCTCACAATAATGCTAACCAATAATTTAATAATTAGAAATAGTGCAGTTTTTGAAATGGGTTTACAGTTTATTTAACATTAAATTATTCTGGTTCAAAATTTCAGATTAATTTTTCTCAGTTCAAGCCCATTGCAACATTGGCCCTTATTCCAGCTCTATCTAGATATATTTTTTAAATCATCACAATTGGGTGGAAAACAAAATAATATTGTCGACTTTTGTGTTAAACTTTATTCCTTTGATTTGGTTTGTTTTCCATCGATCTTGTTTTCCGTGATGAGCGCCAATGCTACCGACGGCAGGGAGGCAGCTCCTACACCTGGACCCTACCACCTATCGACCCATCAACTCATGAACCGGGGACCGAAGGAAGGGGTGATCAGAGATTTTATGCCTCAGAACATGCCGGCGGCACCGATTGGGATTGAACCCAGGCCTGCTGGGGTGATTAGTAATCACGTTTACCTTTACACCAGGGGCACCATTCCCTGAACTTTATTCCACGATGGTCTTAAACCGATCAAAAGTGTAATTTTTTTTAATTTAATTTCTAACCAATACTATAAGAAAAATCTAAAATAAAATGTTGCTAACAGATGTTCGAGTTAATTAAAATGGTGATTATTGAAAAACTATTATCGAATAAAATGGTAGATCTCTACCAAGATTAGGTTTAAGATATAATTTTGTAACTTGTTAAAGATAAATAGATGAGATAAGATGAGGAATTAGGAATATCTTTTATAAAAATCAGAAATGTTTCAGTGTGTAACAAGAGGCGTACAGTCTCTGAAAAATTTGTCGAAACAT